GATATCATCAACGGCGGTCTCGAATGCGGTCCGGACGCCCCGAACAAGGCGAACGAGGAACAGCGCATCACGTACTTCACGAAGATGTGCGAAGCGCTGGGTGTGGAGCCTCTAGGCGCCACCTCGTGCAACGCCTAGACTGCACATTATGCATCAAACACAAGCACAAGACGAAGTCCAACGTAGGCTTAGCTGAGGATAAAGCCCAATCGACAGATCTTGCCATCACGGAAGACACTATGATGAATTTGCTCCTGACGATATTTTGGCCCAAAAGCACTATAGATGACAAAAAAAAATACGTCCGTCATATTTTATTCCCATAACCTTGTTTTGTCTTTCTGTAGGGATTTTTCCACAACAGTACATAGTTTTGTACTCACCAATACCGCACGTATATCACCGTAACACTACATGTATCCGTGTCATGCACGTTATTTCAACCGTGTATCGTGACGCAAACTATAATAGCACAAATAGATGATCCTTTTCCCCAGCCAACCGGAGAAAGTCAAGCTTTTGACTCAAAGCCCAAGTGCCGTCGAGCTGAAGGAGGTCATCCTCCCAAACCCGACCAGAGAAACAACAGGAAACTTGGAATTCAGCTACATAATTTGGCAAAATGGGAGCTCACTTTCACCGAAAATGGTCACCTCACTTATGAATATTCGAGTACTTGAGTGAGGACTTCGAATCGCAAAATCCATGAGAACGCACAATATCCGGCACACTCCTCACCTCTACCTGTACACGAAGTCCAATCCTACCTCGATCAACAATTGAGTTATTCTAATTTACCGTGCATCGTATAAATGCTGAGGCAATGCAATGCCATTTTACAACGTTTCTGCTTCCGTAAATCGCTGATTTACCTACAGTAGAAGTATTGCGTATAAGGAACATGATTTGTCTACGCTTTTGGCTTCAGAGTCTAAATCAGGGACCTCGATAGCGTACCACGGGCAGTACCGTACGAAAAGATCCATGTTAACGTCTGAGTTTGTTTGTTCTGTGGCTTCGATCACTGAATTCTGAAGTCGGGGACGCCAATCTTGACTGCACCGATGAAGTCACAGGCTTTTCCGTGGTCGAGCCATTCCCACCTCTTGCCGTTCGAACTGCGTTGTGATCCTCACTTTCGTTCTCTCCTCCAAGCAAGCAAGCAACCACCCTCAGTCTATCAATCCAAGTCAACTATGAAGCTCGCCGGAGTTATCGCGTCAATGGGCCTACTGGGCGTGGCTTCTGCTGACGATAGTAGCTCGAGTTTCGCTCGTTTCTTCGACCAAGCGCGTTTCCAGGAGATGTTCCCGGATGCTGTGGAGCTCTACAACTTCGACGGTCTCGTGGATGCCGCCAGCAAATACACCGAGTTCGCCAACACGGGCAACGATGACAACGATAAACGCGAGCTGGCGGCCTTCCTAGCTCAAACGGCTCACGAATGCGACAGCTTCAAGGCTGCGGAGGAGTACGCCCGTGACACCTACTCGGTGTGGCAGTATTGCGACAATGCCAGCATCGCCTGCGCCCCTGGCCAGCGTTACCACGGCCGCGGCCCCATTCAGCTCTCGTGGAACTACAATTACTACAATGCCGGCGAGGCTCTGGGCATTGACCTTCTAAACAGCCCGGACATCGTCTCAACCGATACGACGGTGACGTGGATGACTGCACTTTGGTACTGGATGACTCCGCACGCCGGTCGCGTCATTCACGACGTCGTCGCCGGTGAGAACGGGTTCGCCCAGTCCACCGACATCATCAACGGCGGCCTCGAGTGCGGTCCGGACGCCCCGAACACGGGGAACGAGCAGCAACGCATCACATACTTCACCAAGATGTGCGAGGCACTGGGCGTGGAGCCCCTGGGTGCCACTTCATGCAACGCCTAGACTGCGTGTGCGTCGTATAAAACATGAATACACAAGTGAACTGTGTCTCTTACTTGTATTTTGCACGAGTTCTTGCTATGACCCTCCTACTGTAAGGCTGGGTAGATGTATTGATCCCACACAGGCTCCCAATAGCACTCGACGTCGGCATCGAAGCGGACGCCGTCGACGATCCAGCAGTTGTGCGAGATGTTGGCAACCACCGTGCGGTGCAAACCTCCACGTTCATCCAGCGTACGCAGACCATACGTGTCGTTCTTGTACTCGACGGTATCCTTCATGTCCATGACTGTAAACTCCTCGAACTTGGTTTCGATCTCGTCGATCGAGTCTACGGGTGTGTATCGCTGCAGTAGCGAGTGCTGCCATGGAGCTACAACTCCGTCGTTCGGACTTGCGAAGAAGTGGGCGGACTTGAGACGCAAGAAGTTGCTCTTTCGACGGATCTTGTCGAATCTGCATTGGAAATCGTCGTCGTCGCAGTGATTCAGATTGTTCAGATACGGCAGGTACTTGTTGTTCGCGATGAAATACTTGTCGGCCGGCTCGCGGTTCATGTTCATAAGTGAGTACTTGGCCTGCAGCGTCTGGTTCGCGTCCAGTTGAGCCAGGTCGTGCTGGAACTTGCCACGCCAGTCTGCCGTGGTGTATTTAGAGAAGTCGAAGATGTCGGGTGTCAGTAGCTGGGGACCAAGCACGTTCGTCATGATGTAGAGCGGCACGACGTCCTCCGCCTGTGGACCGTAGAACATGCCGTTCTGCATGCCAGCTAGACTAACGAGGGAGTGAACCTTATGGTCGTCCATGTTTTCCACCACGGCACGGGCGATGCCGCCGCCTTGTGAGTGACCCACGAAATGGTAGCCGTTGTCGAAGCGCGAGTCGTTCTTGACGATACTGCGGATCTGCTCAATGGCCATCGGGATCTGCGCCGTCACAGACTGCACCGAGCACTCGTTCTCGCAGTATGTGAGACCCACGAAGACGCGGCCCTCAACCGTGAGGTTGGCCTTAATGTTGCGGCCATTGGTGGCGTTGCCCGTGACGCCGTGGAAGAAGAAAACCGGCAGCTCCGATTCGGGAACGGACTCTGCGACGACGACGGAGGCGGCAGCAGCGGCCACTGCGAGGAGGAAGGATCGGATCGCCATGACGAAGGAGGTCTTGATCTTTTCGGGGTGAAAAGGATTGTGGGCACTCGGGTTGCAGCGAAGTGAGGTGAGAGCCTCACCGTGAGCTGAAGACGGTGGTGAAGACGGTGGTGAAGACGGCGGTGAAGACCGCACATAGGACGAGCTTCACCTCTTGCGCAGCAAGTTGCGGATCAGACTTGGCCGTCAACAATGCGGGGTCGTAAGGTCCAGGAAGTGATGTCTGCTTTGATGTCAACGACATCAATGGCACACTGCAATCAGCTCACGTGACGGTATCACTTGCTGCAACGATGCCCGCTTGTGCTGTGATGTAGACACGCACCCGCTGAGCGCGTGCAGCGAAGGTGCCTCTGTGCGATTAGCTCAATTCTCGACGAACCGCAAAACCATTCAGCGACTTCTTCTCTATTGGCAAAGAGCC